TGTGGCACTGGGTGCCAGGGTTTGGGTGAGGTGTTGGGGCTGGGTTGGACTCGTTGATCTTTAGGGTCTCCTCCAACCTGGTGATTCTGTGATTTTTCTGAATTCTGTAGTTCTGTGGTTCTGTGTCTGTTCACTGCTCACGTCAGTCACAGGAAGAAGAAAAATATTCAGGCATGTGATAGATAAAAATAAAGGATGTGGCTGGGAGGAAGCAGCCATGGGAGGCCCACAGAGGCAGAATCTGAGGGGCTGCACCACTCCTGGGTGCATCTCTTCTCCCCAAAAATGGGACTTCCTAGGATTCATTAATAAGTCAGGTCACTTTGGAAATGAAGGGCTGAGTGAAGTCCCTGCAGGCCCAGGAGATGTCCTGGGGTGCTGGCACTGCCTGTGCCCCCTGCCCTGGGTCCCAGCCTCTCTCCCTGCTCAGGGCAGGCAGTGCCCAGGTAAATGCCCACAGCAGGGCACCAGCTCTGCTCAGCTGTGAGCAAACACTGAAATAAATCCCTCATTCCTCCAGAACAGGGCACACAGACCCCAGAAAACACCAAGCAGCCAACCCAGCCCTGCAGAGCCTCTGCTCCAGGCCAGGGGGGTAGCTTGCTCACTGACAAGCTCTGGCTGCTCAGCAGCACCCCAAAATCTTTGGGGTACAGAGGTGTTTCCATTCAGCCCTGTAGCAGTGCATCCATCTGCACCCCAAGATGAGGGAATAATAATAAAAAACAACAACAATACAAAAAACCTAAAAACAACCCAAAAAAGCCCCATTCTGTAGCCAGTGAATGACAAAGAATTTGCAGCCACCTGCACTGCTTTACTGAAAGCTTTACTGAGTTTTCCTTGCCTGGAAACTCCAAAAGGGATTGAATAAAATAAAATAAAAATCCACCCCCAGCCCTCTGTCTGCGCAGAGATGTGCCAGCAGTGATGGGAAGAGCTGAGCTGGAGCTGGAGGCAGCAAACATTAAAACATTAACTGCACTGCAAACACAGAGATGGGACAGGATGGCACTGCCCAGGTGAGGGAACTGCTCCCTGGGGA